ACTATGTTAAACTATATGAGAAAACGATAGACTTATGGAGGGTTTTCGTTAAAGTTATTGTCTCTGTAATAGATACAATAGCAACCTATCTAGCCACTATTTTTAATACAAGCGTCGAATCTGGTGTGTTTCCTAATTTAATGAAACATAGTAAAGTCATACCTTTTATTCACTCTGACCTAAAATATTTGACCAATTTATGTACTACCAACATTAGGTAAAATTTTTGAGTTAATTATTTCGGATCAGATGCCAAGTCTTTTTAATATAAATTAATTGCTTCGTACAAGTCAATTTGGTTTTATAAGGGGTCGCCGACAACCGACGCCGGAGTTGAGCTCATAAACATATTTTTTGTGCATGCGAAAATTCAGAGGACGTTTTGGGTATAATTTGTGATCCTTTCAAGGCTTTCGACTGTATTTACCATGAGACATTAATCAGGATCAAGATCAGGTGTCAAGAACACAGCGCTTAAAATCATTATTTCATATTTTAGTAATAGACTGCAGAAAGTTATTTTCAATGATAAAAGTTTATTGGGATCGGCCGTATAAATGGGTGTCCCGCAGGGCTCGATTCTTGGCCCTTTCCTTTTTTTAGTGTATATTAATGACTTACCTTCCCTTGTAGGGGATAATCGTGATATAGTATTATTTGCTGATGATACTTCCTTGATTTTTTGACTTAAACGTAGTATATCATTTAAATGTGCCAAAGTGAATAATGCTATATTAAAATTAGTGCATTGTTTAACATTATTAATCTGCATTAAAACAGAAATAAAACTATATAATTCACAACAACAAATGTTAAAAATCTGAATAATAATGTGTTTCTAAATAGAGAAAAACTGAGCCCTGTTGAATCCTCTGTTTTCTTGGCATCACTCTCAACTCAAATCCCCATATATCCAAACGAGCAAGCAATTTTCTGCAGCTTATGCCATAAAAAAAGATTAAAGATCTCACTAGTTTTGAGACAGATTAGTTTATTTCTATTATTTCTATAACATAGATTTTGGTCTGGGGAAATACGGCTGATTTAGAAACTATTTTTGTTTTGCAGAAAAGAGCCATAAGAGCTATTTACAACCTAAAACCGAGAGAATCTCAGAGAAAATTTTTAAGAAACAAATATATTAACTCTGGCCTCTCAGTGTATATGTATATGAAAATTTAATGTATGTTCACAAACAGGTAGTTATAGTAAAATGTGATATACACTCTGTAAACCCTAGGAACCGACACAAGCTAGTGATACCAGTTTCTCGACTCCACAGAGTCAGTGATTCTTCCTTGGGGCAATGTATACGCTATTACAACAAAGTCTCAAAAATACACAAGTTCTCTATTACCACGTTTAAATATTTAATTGAACAAAAACTGTACAAAAAGGTTATTATTATATAAGTGAATACATGGTTGATAATAAGTAATAACCCCAAAAAAAGTAGCAATGAGGTGGCCGTCTCCAAGTTCTTTCTAAAATAAATTTTATAAATAGTTCGTAACCATATTGTCATGTTAAATTAATTTAAAACAAAACCCCACTGGGTTTTCTACTGGTTCTTCCCAAGACAGAGGTTTTTTCCGAATCATTGGTTAATTAAAAAAACGACATATGATCTATGTTGAATAAATAATTATTCTATTCTATACAGAAGGGGTTTGCTATAATCGTCACGCTTGGTACCAGACGGCTTATTGCTCACACTACTGACACTTATTATTATAAAAAATACTAAGTATTGTTAATTATTAATGTAATTCAAGTTACTTTTAATTAGGAATCTATATCATATTGTGAGGTGTAAGACAGGGTGACGTTATATCCACGAAACTCTTCACCCCTCCATTGGAAGATGTTTTTAAGCTACTGGACTGGAAAGGATACGGTATTAACATCAATGGCGAGTACATCACTCACCTTCGATTTGCCAATGATATATTCCTTATGGCAGAATCGCTGGAGAACCTAAGCACTATGCTCAACGACCTCAATGGCGTCTTCCAACGGATAAGTCTTAAGATAAACATGGACAAAACAAAGATCATGTTTAATGTCCATATCACACTTATGCCGGTAGTTGTTTGGGGCACTATGCTTGAAGTTGTTGACGAGAACGTTTACCTGGGACAAATAGTCCGACTAGGTAAGTCCATCTTCGACCGAGAGGTCAATCGACGGATTCAACTCGGCTGGGCAGCGTTCGGGAAATTACGACACATCTTCTCGTCAGGTATACCTCAAACTCTGAAAACTAGATTGTACAACCAGTGCGTGTTGCCAGTGATGACTTACGGATCTGAGACGTGATCCTTCACTGCTGGCCGTATGAGGACGCTCAAGGTCGTTCAGCGAGTTATGGAGAGGGCTATGCCCGGAGTTTTTCTGGGTGATGCCCGGGGGACGCCCGGAGTGACTCAGAAATGAGCATATCCGCAGTAAAACCAGAGTGACCGACGTAGCCCAACGGATTAGTAAGCTGAAGTGGCAATGGGCCGGCCATATAGCTCGAAGAACCGATAACCGATGGGGAAGAAAGGTTCTCGAGTGGCAGCCTCGTACCGGTGGGCGTAGTGTAGGGCGACCCTCCACTAGATGGAGTGACGACCTGGTAAGACATACAGGAAGTCGATGGATGCAGGTGGCTCAGGACTGTGCTTTGTGGCATTAGTTGGGGGAGGCCTATGTTCAGCAGTGGATTTGTGAAGGGCTGTAATGATGATGATGATCATATTGTGTTAAAAACACTCGAACTGATTCAAATATACTGCGGACAACCGATATGTTTAAAATTTTACCCTTTCACGAAATTGAATGTATAATTTCGTTATGTATATATTTTCGTTTTGATGACTCACTACCATTACCATTACGCACTTTTGAAATCCACTGCTGAACATAGAACACCCCATAGACTACTTCATAGGGGGGGATATTTGCCATAGTAGCCGCGCCTGGCAAGCGGGTTAGCAATAGCAGTTTTATTTTTATTTTTAGTCGTAATTAGGAAGACGCTTCTGCCCTACTGCTGATTTGTTTCCCTCTGTCACCTATTACACCCACGGATGATATGGGGCACTACCCCATATCCGCACTCCGCCACTACGCTCTTATTACCACTAAAACATGTTCTGGTTCGGTCTACCGCTGCCTCTTCTTTCAACACCCACGTGATGACAAGGGGTCTCCAACCCCAAAATCATGCTTACAACGCTACTATATGGTTAATGATGTTCTATACGTGGTAGAGCCACGCTTTATCTATATTATGGTTGTAGCATGAATGGGTCGGCTCGACCGGGGGAGGACCACGCTCTCAGAGAATACCAGCGTAAAATAGCAGCAAAGCCATATGTGGGATTCCACCGGGCGAGTCCTGTATAGCAGCATTTTGGAGCCTGGGCTTACTTCCTTTGCCAGCACTGTACATCTTTGAAATGAGTTGTTTTGTAAAACGCCATACTGAGCTCTTTCAGAAAGCCAGAGATATAAACTCTCGATGGAAAAGAAATCCGGAGCGATTAGTATTAAGCGTCATTCCAAGATCTGCTAAATTCAGAAAAAGTTGTTTAGCAATGTGTGTTAAGGTGTATAATAAGATCCCCAATGACATCAAAAACCTCAAAATGAATTTATTCAAATCGAGACTCTATAAGTGGCTTATTGAACTTAAAGTGTATGACATTGAAGAATTTATTGACATTAAGCTTTAATAATTATGGTTTTGTTGACATTGCTTTAATGAATATATTTGACCCCTTTTGAAATAAATGTTACCTGAATATAATCTTAAATTTGCATGCTAATTATAAGCAAAACATGTGAACTTATTTTACTGTACCACCTACAAACACCATGTTTTAAGCATATAAAGAAATTATTATTATTATTATAATGCTACTGCGTTTCGTATGGTGAGTGTAAAGAACCGGAGCCCCGTTTTTACTGGAATCGACGCATTCCATCTTAGTCTTCAGGATTGCCAGCGCGTCTGCATTTTAATTCTTAATCGAGGTTAAATGTAGATATCTGTGGGCCACAGCATCCACTTACCATCAGGTGGACTGTGTGCTTGTTTGCCACCCCTATTCTATAAAAAAATATTTCATGACGAAATTACATAAAATATTGATAAAGATTATGGGTCCGCGAGACGATCAATTGCACTTGACAAGTCTACGTGCTTGACGATTTCACTTGACGAGGGACATGACGTGACTTGAAGATGCCGTCAAGTCCACATGCCGCAGTCGTTCACCGCCCTGTGCTCAGGAAAGTGGTCGTCGCAAAAATTAATAATGGTTTCCAACGCAGACAAGGCATCTGTATCTATCACAGAAAAAGAGAAAAGAAAGAGGTGATGGTGTAAGGAATGGTATAAAATGAGATATCGATTCACGCATGAACATTTGCAAAGAACTCTTCAAGCAACTGAGCCCGACGATTATAAAAATTTTCTACGAATGGACAACGATTCTTTTGAAACATTGTTGGAGTTGATTCGACCCAATATTGAAAAGCAAGATACCAATATGCGACAAGCTATTCCTGCCAGCCAAAGGCTCTCTATAACTCTAAGGTCACTGGTATGGACTTGGAAGATTTAAAGTTTATGTGTGCTGTCGCTCCTCGTACTTTGGATTTAATAATACAGGAGACGTGTGAGGATATAATTCAAAAGTTAAAAGAAAATATTCGGGTATGTATGATATTCATTTATTTTCATTTATCTTAACCAAAATAATCATAACAAAAATTAAATAAATACTTAGTTTGATGGTGAAATATGAGACAGACAAAACAGAAAACTTTTTATTGGTTTCTTTTATTTTATCTTGTATGGCTCGGTTGTGCAACCGATTCATACCCAAAAAGTTCTCAGTGTGGTCTATAGAAGTTACTAAAAAGAATAGAAGTGTTGTAAGAACTTAGCCGCAGTCTGTGATTCTTCTTCTTCAGTAGTTGGTTCTGGTATATGAATTACGGGCTGTTCATGAGATACACTTGGCGCCTGCATAGGTTGAGATGGCACAATTATGAGTGTTTTGGCAGTGCCACGCACCGGTGTCTTGCCTATGACTTGTGAGTGTGACTGATGTGGTGGATGTGATTGGTATGTCGTAGTTGAATGGAGTGCATTTGGTGATGGCACAGGTGATGGTGACTGATGGGGTGCGGGTGACTGATATGTCTAAGTTGAGTGGAGTGCATTTGGTGATGGCACAGGTGATGGTGACTGATGTGGTGCGGGTGACTGGTATGTCGTAGTTGAGTGGAATGCATTTGGTGATGGCACAGGTGATGGTGACTGATGTGCTGCGGGTGACTGGTATGTCGTATTTGAGTGGAGTGCATCCAAATGCACCATCACCTGTGCCATCACCAATGATGGCACAGGTGATGGTGACTGATGTGGTGCGGGTGACTGGTATGTCGTAGTTGAGTGGAGTGCATTTGGTGATGGCACAGGTGATGTGGTGACTGATATGATGCGGGTGACTGGTATGAGTATGTGTATGTGGGTGCGCTAGCAGGCAAGATCTGAACTCCGTTTCTTGACAGTGATCCCATTTCGGCTTCGAATAAAATGTCATTTATTATTTTCTCCGCATGGCGTCTTTGATCTGCTGATAAACGTTTGAGTTTAAGAGCCCAGCCCTTCGCAATTATATCCGATTCAGAGTCATCAGGTTTTTTGAAATAATGCGATGCTATATCTATCAGGTCTCCTGCTGTGATGTGTTTTTGCTTTTCTTTGGTTGTGGCATCTCTTTTTGATAATTGAATGACCCGGAAGCCTTTAAAAAAAATTAACCAACGTTTGTACTATTCACATTCTCGGTATAAGGACCGAGGACTGGAAAAAAGTAGCCAAAGAGTTCGAGAGACGATGGAACTTTCCCAACTGTATAGGTACTGTTGATGGCAAGCACATCGAAATAGAAAAACCTTCAAATTCTGGATCTTACTATTTTAACTATAAAAAGACATTTAGTATTGTTCTTATGGCTATTGTAAACGCCAATTATCAATTTATGGTGGTTGATGTTGGTGCAAATGGGCGGATGTCAGATGGTGGAACTTTGAAAAATACAAAGTTTTGGCAATTGTTTTCTGAAAGTGAAAACAAACTTAATATTCCGGAGCCATGTGAGTTACTAGAAAGCGATAAAAAGTTTCCGTTTGTACTGGTAGGTGACGAAGCTTTTCAACTGACTCCAAACTTCATGAAGCCATACAACAAAGCCGTCTCGACAGACGAAAGACGGATTTTCAAATATAGATTGTCAAGAGCCAGGAGAGTGGTTGAAAATGCTTTTGGCATCCTATCTTGGCGATTCAAAATATTTAAAAAAGGCATTGGACTGCATCCCGATAAAACGCGAAAAGTTGTTTTGGCTGCCTTTCACTTACACAACTATTTGTAAATAAAAACAAATATATTCAACCAGGAAGATATTAACATAGAAGAACCAAATACCACAGTCACAAGAGGTGCGTGGAGACAAGGACGCCAATTGTTAAATATAGAGCGAGTACGAGGAAACTCGGCAAATGAGGTAAAAAGAGTGAGAGATGAATTTTTGCGAGTACTTTAATGGTAACGGTTCAGTCCCTTGACAATAATTGCCTAATTTAGTTATTTAAAAACATACTTAAAAGTAAAATGTATCTTTGAATTGTAAATAAAAAATGTTTTACCTCACTGCTTAAACTGCTTTCAGTATCACTTATACACATTTAATCTGACAGAAATAACAGTTCATAGTAATAGTAGAGTGACAGTTTTGGTACATAATCGGAAGACGCGCAAGACCGTTGTGCTTGTTCAATCTTTTTTCTTTCTTTGTTGAAGTTGGTTCTTAATGCATTAATTTCTTTCTTCAATAAATCTTCGGTGTAGGCAGGTTTCTATACTCGAAGTGCTTTGACTATGCTTGATAAAGCAAACGACCTTTTGTTTTTATCCGCATACTCCTTACTTTTAATTTTCCACAATGCAGGATAATCTCTGTAGATATTATTAATAACACAAAATCACGCTCGGTAATTAGGTCGGCGCTTGCCGCCAAAGCCACGTCTCGGTCCGGTTCGTGTCTTGTCCAACTTGTCAATCGTCAAGTCGCGTCAAGTCGCATCAAGCGCAAGGTGGTTCAAGTGCCGACAATCAAAATTTTTGTCCAGTATGGTCCAGCCCGTAGATACTTGGCAGGACTTGTCAAGCCAACGCTGTAAACGATCAATATTCACTTCAAGTACGTAGACTTGTCAAGTGCACTTGATCGTCTCGCGCACCCATTAGACGTGAGAATTAACAATTTAATAAAATATATAGTAAATAATATACGTTAAATGTTATTTTCTTAATTTGTACATTTAATTAAAACTCCTTATAAATTGACTTTGGTATCAAAACAAATGCTGCGTCGATTGCTTGAAAAATACTTAAGAATATTAATTAACATATAAATACTAATATTATTATATTGATGCCATTTATCTTGTTGTTTATATATTTTTCCTTAGAATATTTATATGTTAATAAATCATTGGCATTAATATAATGATTACATTCATAACTTTAAGTATGTAAGAATTCATACCTATTTCATTGTGCGACTCTATATCTCGGAAGTTAATGTATGTACAAGACTTGTGAACTTAATTACTTATGCCATATAGCATAAGTAATTAAGTACGTAAGTCTTGCTTTTTGTACCTAAGCTGAAGGACATTTGATAATGTACATAATATGTTTAGGTATAATTAGTTATATAAATATTTGCGTGAATAAGTCAACGTCATATACTAGCGCCATCTAGTGTCAGGAACGAGAGCGAGGGGAGCTTTGCAGAAAATGACATCACAAATCTGTCAACCGACAGCGCCATCCGAAGAACTAAGTTTCTAGAAAATCTACACTCGAACACTCGTCGCTTTGCGCGCATTTACTTGAATATTCCGGATGCTTCATTGCTAATTTGTATATATAGGCGCTGCAAGATGCGATCGGGGCAGTATTGGATTTGGCGAGACAAGCGAAGCTTCGGAGCGGAACAAAGTGAATTAGTGTGTTTAATTATTAGTGTTTTAAGTTTTAATTTGTGTAAAGTAAATTAAAGTGTTAATTTAGGTAATTTTATCGGCAATTTTAATTGTCACGAAAATCAAGCTCGTAACAATTGGTGTCAGAAGTGGGATAAAATTATGCCGATTTTACCTAAGGAGGAAACGGAGGGTGTCCGTACCAGAAGTCAACTCCAGCAGGAGACGGACCAAAGAAGATTTCGGTGGTGCAACGCCGCAGACGTCGGAGGGCCTAGCTGCCCAGCCCGTCAGTAGCTCCTACATCTGCAACACCTGATTTAGGTGCTCTGATGGCGATGTTACAGGAGCAGCTGCAGCGCGGACGAGAGGAACAGGCCCGTCTGTTGAAAGAGCAGCAGGAGGACAGGCCCGTCTGGAAGAGCAGCATGAGAAACAGGCTCGCCGACAGGAGGAACTGGCTCGCCGACAGGAGGAACAGGCTCGCCGACAGGAGGAACAGGCCCGTCGTTTGGAAGAGCAGCTGCGGGACGGACAAGAGGAACAGGCCCGTCGGTTGGAAGAGCAGATGCTCCTCATGAAGGACCTTCACGCTACCTTCGGGAAGGAGATCAAGGAGGTGAAGGATAGGGTTGCTCAGCATGACAACCGCCTGTCAGAAGCTGAAACCCAAATCGCGAAAGCTGAAACCCGAATCGAGAAAGCTGAAACCCGAATCGACCAAGTGAACAATCGGGTTGACAACGTAATGGCTGACATGAAGAAATCACTGGACGAACTCAAACTTGGGGATGGAACTACAGCTCCCGTAGTAGCTACTACAACTTCGCTACGTGGGTTCAAGGTGCCACCGTTCGACGGGACTTCTTCCTGGTCACCCTACAAAATCCAGTTCGAGGCTGTTATGAAAGCAAACGGCTGGAATAAAAGTCAGGCCATGACTGCTCTCACACTAGGCCTGCGCGACCAGGCCTTAACAGTTCTGGAAGTTCTCGGTGAGGAAGTGACTTATGAGCAACTCCTTGAGGCATTGGAGGCGAGATATGGCGACGCTCACCTGGAACACGTCTTTCGTGCGCAGCTTAAAGATCGCGTGCAGCGCATCAACGAAAACCTGCAGCAGTGGGCTCTAGAGGTGGAGAAGCTGATGCGAAAAGCATACCGGTCTGTACCTGCGCTCATTGAAGGGAACCTGGTGCAGACATTCATCGACGGTATCCGCGACCTGGAAGTCAGAGCTGCTGTGAGGCTCGGGCACCACGAGACGCTTAAGGACGCCTTGGCCCATGCACCGGAGGTGGAAGCCGTGCGGCAGGATCATCGTCCCCATCGTGTCAGGGAGGTTGCAGCAGCTACAGTTCGCGACCGCAACAAAGGATACAGCCCTAGGTGCTATGGCTGTGGGGAAAAGGGCCATCTTTGATCCAGCTGCCCTAAGCGAACCCAAGAAAGGGAAGTTGAACGATCGCAGGAGGGTAGTGCGGCCAACAGCACCGCCCAGCAGCAGCAGGGAAACGAGTAAAAGCCAGAACTGCGGGGCGGGTGCTGGCTGATGTTAAAAGAGCCCCAAGATCGCGATCTCACAAACCCATGATGGGAACAGTCTAATCATCAAGGGCGAGGTCAACGGAATGCCGTGTAAACTGACAATAGACACTGGACCCTCTCGTACGGTTGTTAGTTCCCAACTTATAAGTCAGTTCCTTGGGGACTCCGCATACAACCGAGAACGCATTAATTTTGTAGCAGCCACCGGTCAGCGTATACCCGTCCGTGGAGAGAAGGAGATGGAGTTGAAGCTAGGCAACGTGATCTACCTGCATAATGTCATCGTGGCTGATATAATGGACGACTGCATCCTAGGCCTAGACTTTACGAGGAATAATTCTTGTGAGATCGACGTTAAGCAAGGTGTTTTGAAATGTGGACAGGAGGAACTTTTCATGCAAGATCCGTTACCAGGGAACGTGTACAGCATTAAGAAGATTGTTCTTCCGCCGAGATCGGAAACGATTGTTCCGGTTAGTCTTCCTCGAAACGCTGGGCAAGCTCACCGTTGTGTACTTGTGGAAAGGGTAAACAATGACCTTCCATGGAAAGTAGCTCGAACCTTGGTCAGGACCACTGACATCTCAGGAGTACGTGTGCTGAACCTTTGCGACGGGGAACAGATTATAGAAAAAGGGCACACTGATTGGTACTTGTGAGGAAGTGGATTGGACGTCGGTGCCAATATATATCGAGTGGGACCCCCAGCAAGGATGCAGAAACGAGAGTGACCACACTTTTGGAAGACTGTCGCAGTGTTCTCTCCCCGAACGAATTGGTCAAGGCGAAGAAGTTGTTACTCAAGTACGCCGATGTATTCTCATCAAACGATGCTGACATAGGAAAGACTGGCTTAGTTCAACACAAAATAAACACAGGAGAAGAATTGCCTATCCGTCAGCGGCCAAGAAGATTGCCGGTAGCACGTGAAAAGGAAGTGGAAACCATGATTGAAGGAATGGTGAAGGATGGTGTTATTGAATCTTCCTCTAGTCCATGG